GAGGCATGTGGAGTAAGGAGACTTGTCCAACGTTTTGCCCTGCCTGGTAATCAAACCCAGGTCTTCAAGCTTGTGAGGCGAGTACTCTAACCACTAAACTGCAAGATAATGCACATTGCTGTAGTGTTGGTTTCAATACCCAAAACCCACAATGAACAGCACATTCAAGGTCGCTCAGCTCTTATTTTGAACATGTTACAGACCTGCAGTTTACTGAAAAGCCCCAAAACTCAAGGCAAGAGCTCAAGGCAAGTCCAAGGATCTGACGGTGTGCATCATTTCTGGAGAAGTAAAAGTAGCACAGAGCTCACGGGATAAGCTACACCTATTCTGAAACCATATGAAAAAAAGCAAGTCTACCTTGCAAACGGGTATGTGTGGGCACACAAAATGACAGAATAATGATATGACAAGCAAAATGGCATAACAAGACTTGTACAAAAGAGCATCATGGTAAGAACCGCTGATCAAACTTGATATCAAAATTTAAATGATTTTAAAACTCTATGATATCTAGCCACGTCTTTTTTTAATGGTAACCTAAGGCAGAATTGTCCGCTCCAATGCCTTATATCCCCAACTGATCCACAATCAGACAGTGGAGAGTCCACAGTGACTGCAAACTATTCACACATCACTGCTGTTAGAATTTACTTGCTTCAGTTTGATGTGGAGGAAACCCGTTTGATTGCACGTTTTGTTCTTGCAATGTGTAGAAACCTCACGTTCTTGTACTTTCCCTAAATGGTCCTCTGTGGTGCAGCTCTGGGTTAGACTGGACAGGACGCCTTTTCTCAGCCTTGACTTTTAATGTTCTTAAAACAGAACACCAGCCTCCAGACGTTAAATTAAATGTTGCTGCTTTAAAAGTAATCTAAATTTTGCTTGAAGGAGAAAACAAACACATTCTACAAGCACAGACACTGCAGATCTGCATTAAACATCTTTGAGGCAGTGAGGGTATGCCTGAAATTGTAGGCACAGTTGCAGTAAAAAGTAAAATCCGATGCTGGAGAAACACTGTTCACAGCCCAAATCCACAGTTAGGACAATCAAGCTCCAGAGACTACTTAGGCAACATCACTTTACCAGCAAATAAATTTTGATTCTATGGAACCAATCTGCTTAACTACACAGGCATTATTTCAATCCCTTCAAATCACAGGATTGAGTGTCTTCAAGCCCAACTTTGTAATGAAAGGGCAAACAACCTACATTTAAGTGCTGGAAAGGTAAAAAAAAATTCAAACCTTTGTTATACAAGAATTTTGATATTATATTGAGGATTTTATTATTTTACCTCTGTTATAAAAAAAAGCATCAAGTTGCAGGAGTGCAGAAGAAAAAATAAGAGCCAAACAGTAGAAGTAAAAACTAAATATTCAGCTATTAACCAATCTGAATGTACAAGTACTTTCAGAGTCCTGTAGCTCAGTGGTTAGAGCACTCGCTTTGCAAGCGAGAGACCTGAGTTCAATTCCAGGCAGAGGGCGAAACCTTGGGCAAGTTTCCTTACTCCACACAGAGCCTAATCCCTCCAAAACCAAAAACAATAATAAATTGGTCATTTTCAATCTACGACTGTTTGTGGGACATTGCTGTGCGCAATTGGCTGCCGCATTCGCCCACAAATATACAGTCAATTCACTTTACAGTATGTTCTGTGAAGCGCTTTGGGACGTCATCCGACGTGAAAAGCGCTATACCAAATGCAAGGATTATTATTATTACTTTATTCATTGGCATGCACAAGCAAAACTTTTAATTGAGTCTAAGCGTAAGAGTGGGGTAGTCCGACTAGTTGGTGGCTTTTTCAAAGAGCCGGCACAGGCACGGTGAACCGAATGGCCTCCTTCTGTGCTCTAAGATTCTATGATTTTACGTGTGTATAGGAACGCAACAACTTGCATTCATATAGTGCCCTTCACGCAGGGTAACATCTTAGAGTGCTTGAATATGATAAGAGGTGGACCATTAACTACCAAAGTATCTAAACGTAAAACTTCACTGCGAGAAACAAGATCATCATCTCATTTCAACTTTCACAGACAAGATGCAGTAATCTAATCAAAATTGAATACTGCGCCAGTTATATTATAAAATGCAACTAAACGCAATATAAATGGATCCTCACACTAGTCACAATGTAGAATTTATCCTGCAGCAATGTACATGTCTACACAACTGAGTGTTAATGACTGCCATCACTAGAAATTTGTTCTGGGAATGTCTACAGTGATCACAGGATCAGAAACATACGTTAAAGCAAACTGAAGTGTGATACTAAAACTGAATGATGTGGAAGAGTGATGGAGTTAAGAGAGAAGACTGAAAGCAGTACTCCAGTGGTATAGATTACCACAGGAATGGGCCAGAGAAATAATAGTAGCCTGGCTGATTGCCATCTAATAATTCTTCATAATAGTAGTACCAGGAGTAATATTTATGATACTAAACAAATACTGGCTCCTCAAATTTTAAAAGCTGTCAGTTTTGAAAATATCAACAAGTGTCTCAACACACTTCTCTGTTCATTTACTCAACATCGGCACACACCACAACACTCTACATCCAGAAAAATACAATCTAGAAATGACCATCACAGAAGGCAGTAATCAGCCTTTACTGCCTGTTTTGTTGCCAACTCTGCTTTTTAAGTTTTTTTTATTAATAATAACATAATAATCCTTGCATTTGATATAGCTCCCTATTACGTCTTCGCGACATCTCAAAGCACTTAACAGAATATATTGTAAAGTGAATTGACTGTATATTTTATGGGCGAAACATGGCAAAAAGGTCTACAGGCAGAATTTGAAGATTTTGAGGAGAGGGGGCAAGGCAGACGGATTGAGGGAGAGAGTTCACGAGTTTCAGAGCATAGTGGCTGAAGGCACGGCCACAATGGAGGAGGGGATGGGACGAGGGACAAACAGGAGGCCAGAGCCAGACGAGCGGAGGCAGTGAGTGGTGAAGTGGTGGGTAAGCAGATCGGATAGGTAGGGAGGTGCGAGGGCATGAATGGATTTGAAAACGAGCGAGAGGATCTCGAAATCGATTTGTTTGGTAATTGGGAGCCAGTGGAGCCTGGCAAGGACTAGTGTGATGGGGATACGGAGTTTTGTGTGGGCAGATATCTGAATTAATTGGATTTTGTGTATGGTATAGCTGGGGAGACCAGCAAGGAGGGCATTGGAATAATCCAGCCGGGAAGTGACGAAGTGTAGACAAGGGTTTTGGCTGCTTTTGTTATGAGTTACGGATGGAGGCGGGCAATGTGGCGGAGATGGAAAAAAGAGATCCTGGTCAGGGATTGCATGTCTAGTAGAAAGGAAAGCTGGGGATCGAACCTGAAGCCTAAGTTGCAAACAGTCAAATCCTCATGGATCCTGGTGGATTTTATGGATTCCAAACTCGTATTATATACCAATTGCACTGTAATTTCCTTGATTTCAATCACCTCTGTTGGGTGTCTTAAACTGAAATGATGCTGAACACACTCTTTGCCTGGTCCTTACCCCAAAGATAACCAGCATTTGAGTTATCTTTAAAGGTTTCCTATTCAGGTGCACAGCAGCTTCCACAGGTAGATTGCACAACTCTCTTCGCATCACTTCATCGCACCAAAATAATCATAAAATGCACTGTTGTGGACACAGTAAATGGGTCTGAAATGCAGACTCATGCTATTTGATGTTCCAGAACACACAAGGTGCATTTATTTATAATGTCAATGCTCAATGGGTAGTTAAAGGTATTTGCTGAAAATTCACAGTATTTCAGTACAATAACCATCAAAGGTTTTCATAAAAATACTTTTATATAGTGGCTTTCAAAGGACATCTCAAAGAGCTTCACATGATTTACTGTGCAGTGACCTCATTTTGTAGGTGAACATGACAGCAAATTTGTGCACAGTAATGTCCCACAAACAGTCATAAAGCAAATTTTAAATGGGGGATTGGTGGCCAGGACACCAGTTACAAACTTCCTTTTCAAATAGTGCCATAAGATCTTTAAGTTAATATCCTGTGAAGCACGTTGGGACATCCTCCCAATGTGAAAGGTGCTAGTATCAAATGTAAGGATTACAGTAAACTCCTGAGCGAATAACTGGTATTCACAGGCTGGGCTCACACATGGAGAACGGGCAGTTGCTCAGTGAGAGAACAGAGCTTGAATGGTGCCTGTAGACCTGAACCCCAGCAGAAAGTAAAAAAGGAGCTAAACCTCATGCAGGAAAGCAGAGAGAAGGAAAGTGTAGCTGAGGACAAAATACATGTAAATACACATAGCTAAAGAGACACCAAGTATGTAGATAATTCTTTGTGCAACCATGCTATTTAGACAAGAAATTCAGCCGCCACAATTATGTTTTTTCAATGATCAGCAGAAAGCACAATCAATCTGATGCAAACGTGTCATCTGGAGACAGCCCCACATTTTATTTATTGCAACTCCAAATTAGTTTATTGGTTAGCGTTTTCTGAGTTTGTGATTGAATTGCCGAATGGTTGATTAAATGGGCCGTAGTTGCATTTTCAAATGCTTTTTGTCTCAGATATTCTGATGTCAGCTTTACATTTTCCCCACCATGTGGCGGTTGAAGGCACTACAGTCCTGACTGAAACTTCAACACACATGAAGAAACTGCTCAGTTTATAGTCAATGAGATTACTGTTTAGAGCATTCCTGCCTAGTCACAAAAGCCATCTTAAAAATATATATGCAAGCTCTTATCATCAATGTATATTGCTGGATTGTCACCAGCAATGTCACTTGTACGGAGACGCTTACCCTACATGAAAGAATAGGTGCAAGTTGTTGAGGGATATCTGTGGATCAAATCCAAAGACATTTTTTAAAAAAATCACCATGATGTTTTCCTACCAAGGCTTTTTTTNGAAACCCAAAGGCAAAACGAAAAATCCCACAGACCATGCACAGTTCCAAATAAAATATAAGATTAAAAGTGACCGAATAGTCCATCGCCTACTTACGTGCGATCGAGCAGAAGACAATAATCAACCATGACAGGCACCATGTCCTGCAGGAGAAAACAAGTAATAAGAAAGTCAAAATCATAATGTCCCTGGAATTCTGACGATGCACAACACAATGGAACAATCATCGGCATCTCCATTTCAGATCTTTTAAACACACGGCAGGCAAGTTTTACAAAGTAATTTGCGCAAAAAAGAGCACAACAAACCTTCGACAATGAGTGTTTTTTACAGAGAAGCCGTACTACCAGATCGGCATTTTTTTTCTAACAAGTTATCTAGGTTCAATCTTCTTTGTGGTTCGGGTTGAATTTCAAAGAGGAAAGGATTTTCAAAAGATCCACAAAAAAATTGGTTGAGGTCTGAACAGTACATTCTGAGTGCTTTGATAAGTCCTCCTGAAATGGAAGGCTCGATATGATTGTTAATATTAACTATATTGTAAATTGTTATATTGATGGATTTTTCGAAAATAATTTATATTGATAATAATAATCCTTGCATTTAATATAGCGCCTTATCACATCTTCGAGACATCTCAAAGCGCTTCACAGAATATACTGTAATTTGAATTGACTATATTTTGTGGGTGAAACACGGTAGCCAATTGCACACAGCTGTGTCCCACAAACAGTTGTGGATTGAGTGACCAATTTTTTTTGAAGGAATTATTACCCCCGGAAAAGCGATCTGCCAATCGACTGACAAAACCAGGTTCCTACGTACTGCTAGGCAAACAAGAGGCGTGTGGAGTAAGGAAACTTGCCCAACGTTTCGCCCTACAGGGAATCAAACCCAGGTCCCTTGCTTGCAAGGCGAGTGCTCTAACCACTGAGCTCTGATGAGGCAGTGTAGTGGATTAGAACTTAGCCCACTGTACAGCAACAACAACAGAGCCTGCTGAGCAGAGGTAGTTAGCAGGTCACAGAGGTACGAAAGGGCAAGGCTTTGGAGGGTTTTAAAGGCGAGGATGAGGATTTTGAACTCTATCCTCTGGGGGATGGTGAGCCAGTGAGGCCGGTTGAGGATGTGGGTGATAGGATCACGGAGCCTGGTGCGGGACAGGACACGAGCTGCAGCTTATGGAGGGAAGTTGGGATGGCTGGCTGGATGGCTGACAAACAGGGAGTTAGCGTTGTCGAGCATAGATGTAATGAAAGCGTGGGTGAGGGTCTTGGTGGCCTGAGGGAAGAAGCAGTGGTAGAGCTGGGTGATGTTGTGGAGGTGAGGGAAGGCAGAACGGATCATAGCAGCGATGTGGAGTAAAAAGGACAATCCGTCAGGACAGCAAAGGTCCTGGAGTAGAGGTTGGAGACAGAGAGATAGAGTTGGGCGTCATCCGCATAACACTGTGCATAACATTGTCTTTGCTCTTTATTTGGACCTTACTGTGCCTGGTACTGATGACCTTTGTGGTCATGATTGAAGGGAGATCTAACTGTTGGATACTTGAGGTACATACAAAATGGAGGACCTGAATGAGGATTGGCTGAATAAGAATGTATTGGAGAAGGCTGGGGGAACGAGGTACTGGGCAGGTACACATTACTGAAAGATGAGAACATATGAACAGTTGAAGGAAAGGGTAGATCTCGAGACTAGTAGAGAGATAACGGTAACAACTTTGTCCCGTTAGAAGCCTCCAAGAATGTGTTGATGGATACATTACGTATATAACATAACCTGATCAGGTCAGAATCAGAAATTAACAAGATTAGTAGTAACATTTGTCTTGTTGGCAACTGATCACCCGGGACAGGACAAAGGGGTTGCTGAGGTCTGGAGAATGTTATCTACTCAGACCAGGGCAAGGTGTCAAAGAAGGAAGAGTATAACTGGCGTTTTGTCAGAGTAAGAGGGTAGGAAGGAGGAAGAGCTGAACAGCAGGGAAGTGCCCAGACTCAAGCCTCTAGCAACTTGAGAATCGTCCGCCACAGCTACGAGAATTGGGGTAGTATATTTTAATTGTATTTTGTCTTAATAATAATAATAATAATAATCCTTGCATTTGATATAGCGCTTTTCACGTCAGGAGGACGTCCCAAAGCGCTTCACAGAACACACTGTAAAGTGAATTGACTGTATATTTGTGGGCGAACGCGGCAGCCAATTGCGCACAGCAATGTCCCACAAACAGTCGTAGATTGAAAATGACCAATTTAATTATTGTTTTTGGTTTTTTGGAGGGATTATTATTAGGCGTGTGGAGTAAGGAAACTTGCCCAAGGTTTCGCCCTGCCTGGAATTGAACTCAGGTCTCTCACTTGCAAAGCGAGTGCTCTAACCACTGAGCTACAGGACTCCAATAAAGATGAGAACATATGAACAGTTGAAGGAAAGGGTAGATCTCGAGACTAGTAGAGAGATAACGGTAACAACTTTGTCCCGTTAGAAGCCTCCAAGAATGTGTTGATGGATACATTACGTATATAACATAACCTGATCAGGTCAGAATCAGAAATTAACAAGATTAGTAGTAACATTTGTCTTGTTGGCAACTGATCACCCGGGACAGGACAAAGGGGTTGCTGAGGTCTGGAGAATGTTATCTACTCAGACCAGGGCAAGGTGTCAAAGAAGGAAGAGTATAACTGGCGTTTTGTCAGAGTAAGAGGGTAGGAAGGAGGAAGAGCTGAACAGCAGGGAAGTGCCCAGACTCAAGCCTCTAGCAACTTGAGAATCGTCCGCCACAGCTACGAGAATTGGGGTAGTATATTTTAATTGTATTTTGTCTTAATAATAATAATAATAATAATCCTTGCATTTGATATAGCGCTTTTCACGTCAGGAGGACGTCCCAAAGCGCTTCACAGAACACACTGTAAAGTGAATTGACTGTATATTTGTGGGCGAACGCGGCAGCCAATTGTCTTGTCTATCTTTCTTTAATTCTTGTATCAATAAACACCATATCTCTTTGAGGATTGTTGGGTCGTCATTTGAACTCTCGGGATCGGTATATCCCAACATAACCCTAGCCATAATTGATATGCACTTGTGGGAGGGTTGTAGTACCAGTTCAAAACTCTGAGAAACTGTAATCTTTGTTGTCTTAAGCAAAACATAGCTTGAGATAAGGTCGATGAAAAATATTTGATGAAAAACATCTGCTGTAAGAGAAGCGTGGCTATTGTGATGTGATTGGAAAGTAATTGAATGGAAAGGGGAAGGGTAAAATCAGGATCAGGAAAATAAGTGTTGGTCACGAACTAGTTAAAAAGCTGAAACAGCCTCTGCAGGTAAGATTGGTAAGAACAAACTATTTCCCAGATTGGTCATTTTACCTTTCTGTTCATGCACATCACGTTATAAAAGGTTTATTTCATAAAGCTGAAACTGAATCTTGGTGTCAGAAATCTTAAATTGTAAATAGTTAAATTTCAAGGAAATTACTTAAAGTAAATATAATAGTTGTTCAGATCTGGAATGCATTGTTTGAAGGGTGGTTGAAGCCGATTCGGTAACAACTTTCAAGAGAGAAGTAGATAGATATTTGGGGAGGACAAAATTGCAGGGCTATGGGGAGAGAGCAAGGGGAGTGGGTTTTAATTCGGATAGCTCTTTCAAAGAGCCAGCACGGACACAATGGGCCAAATGGCCTCCTTCTGTGCCGTATAATTCTATGATTCTATATAAGACTAACCCACTTGAGGTGAACAACAAGATAAAGACAAAATCAGAATGCACACTCCACCAGAATGTTAGTCTGTGGCAAGAAACATGCATTGACTTTGCTAACTTTTTAAAAACCTTTTCCTCTGATTTTCTACCCAAATAAGCCCAATAAGCACACCCGGTTTCTGTAAAATCCTACTGAGCTTGTTCCAACATATAGAACTGGCTACAATGATTGTTTAATGTAGTTTTTCAATTTGTAATCATTCAGATTGGCGTTAAAAGATCCCGTGGCACTATTGAAAATAAGAATGGAGTTTCTCCTAGTATCCTGGCCAACAATCCTCTGAAGAAATTGCTCCTTCACCTCATGATTGTTTATGGGACCTCACAATGCACAAATGGCTATTACATAGAATCATAGAATTGTACAGCACAAAAAGAGGCCATTCGGCCCATCGAGTCTGTGCCGGATCTTTGAATAGAGCAATTAATGTCAATCCCACTCCCCAGCCCTTTCCCCATAACCCTGCAAACCCATCCTCCTCAAATACCCATCCACCAGGTTTTTAAAAGTAGTTATCGAATCAGCTTCGACCACCCTTTCAGGCAATGCATTCCAGATTCGAACAACTCGCTGCATGAAAAAATGTCTTCTCACCTCCCCTCTGCTTCTTTTAGAGACTATTTTGAATCTGTGACCTCGAGTCACCGACACACCCACCAGTGGAAACAGTTTTTCCCTTTCTAACCTATCAAATGCCCTCATGATTTTGAAGACCTCTATTAGGTCTCCTTGTAACCTTCTCTGCTCCAATGAGAATAATCCTAACCTCTCTTGCCTTTCCTCATAATCAAGGTCCCTCATTCCTGGTACCATCCTCGTAAATCTCCTCTGTACCCTTTTCAATGCCTTAACATCCTTCCTCTAGTGTGTTGCCCAGAACTGGGCGCAGTATTCTAACTGAGGCCTAACCAGTGTTTTATATAGGTTAATCATAACATCCTGACTCTTGTACTCTATGCCCCTATTTATAAAGCCTAGAATCCCATTTGCCCTTTTTACAGCCTTGTCATCATTCATTTACCTGCACTCCCAGGTCTCTCTGTTCTTTTACCCCCNTTTAAGATTGTATTACCAGCCTATATTGCCTCCCCTCATTCTTTCTACCAAAATGCATTACTTCGTATTTCTCTACATTTACCTACAGAAACAGTAACTTCGGTACATTTGACAACAAATCCTTGTAGTAAAGTACTTTTGAGATGTTTCAACATTATAAGCATTAAGTGCAATGTGTCAGCCAGCTGGCTCAGTGTCGCCTTTGAGTCAGATGGTAGTGGGTTAAAGCCCCACGTCGGGAGTTGAACTCCAATGCAGTACTGGGAGTGTGCTGCATTGTCAGAGCTGCTGTTCTTTGGATGAGAT